AGACTACTACTTGTAGGAGTAAGTGATTATATCTAAGGTCCAATACCACAGTCAAATTATTGAAATAAATATATCATGATATACAGTGATTAAATTATTTTACAAAATTATACTAAGCTTGTGCTGTATACCTATTCAAAACGCCGAAATAATAGAACAGAATCTTGTTAATGAGTTTGCATCAAAATTGGAAGCACTATAGAACTTTGGTTCATTACAGCTTATTGGAGGTTAAATCTTCAGTATCAAGAGAGTAGTATATCTTCGCACTTCTTCTTCATATGGAATGATACAACAAAGTGTTAAGCCACCTAATGATTTCTGTAGATAAGAATCAGAATATCTTAGATCAGCAACTGCTACTCTAGCTGACGAGATACAAACAACAACACATTAACTCAAATTCTTCAGGTCCTAGCACCTCTCCATTTTCTGTTGGTAACTAAAGTGCTTTTGAACTTCCTCTATGGTCAGCTTGTGAATGAAATTAAATGAGAAAATTTACACTGATTTCACCATTAAGTTGAAGGATACTGTGAGAAGGTGAATTCAAATATTGATAAGATAACGATCATTATTTCAATTCCGAGACATTTAGGTTCCAGCATCATGCTACATTGTGGTCATAGAACCCGAAAATAAGAAAACCAAGTCTTTCATTGGCTACCCAGTGAAATGGCCAATTCAGATGAGGATTCTTCACATTAAGAATCAACAAAGAAGAAGCAATGACCCTAAATTTGAATCCCAACACAATTATATTCAGGTCCTTTCAGACTTCAGCCTAGAATCAGAACAATAAGTTCCCGATAAAGATGAAACTTTAACAAATCAGAATACAAAAGCCAGTGACTAGAGTAAACAATAATACATCAATAAACACTCCTCCACTTCAGTTTTTAGATAATGAAAAAGATTTTTATAATTAATGCTTCTTTTATTTTTCTTCTATTAATGTTGTTTTCATTGCATAATATTTTAAAGTTGATAATTGGATGATGACTCATCGTACAAAGTTCATGAATGTGTGATTGTTATGTTGTTTGATCCAAATAGTGCCATTGCATCAACTGCATTGATATTTGTAGATCCTTCCTTCATTGAAATTGTCAGAATAACCCTTCCTCAGATGACCTTTGAGTTCAGTGCTGTTTCTGAATAAAAGTAACTTTGCTGCTTATATTATATATATATTTTTTATACTTGTTTCCAAATGACTATGTTTTTGGTAAGATACCTATTACTGTGTCCGAGTTTGTGCATTTCTCTTTGTTAGAGTTTATGGTGTTTTCTGTTATCGAGTTTCTTTTCATATCTGGCCAAGGTTCTTGTGACAATATGTTTAGGAAAGCGACATCTGTTTATAAATGTACCAGATATTGATCATCACAGGTATCGAAACCCAGTTTCTAGTGTTGTAAGTCCACAGATATAATGCTGTGTCATTGGGGGGAGTCATATGACAGAGTTTTTTAGATGATTAAGAATGAAGCCAATCAAGTCATCCAGCAGTTTGAAAAAGATGGTGTACTGTGTCCTATCACACTTAGAAATGGATTGTACACTGCTGAGAATGTGGACAACATTGACCATGATCTCTTTTGCCACCTCAGCTCAAAATGTTTTTCATGGGACAACTAACCTTTGAAATAGCATGTAACTGATGATAAAAGTGGCTTTCTCAGCTGTTCTGTTTGAACACATCATTTGGGAGACACACCCAGATCCAAGACTACCAGATAACTAACCATGTTGCATCTGTTGTACTGTTCAATGACAGCCCTAAGCTATCTCCCTGTGAGAGCTCTGTCATCCTCAACTCTAATATGGTGGATTCTGATTAAAAAAGTAATTGACTCATATGTATAAGTTCATGTAAAAGGAAAATTTGGATAAAGATCATAACATATGTTGGTATAATTATCATACCAGTGTATAACCAATCCCCCATATTTCTGCAATTAGAGGTCTACTACCACTCTTTAGAAATAAGTGTTCATTCACCGGCAGTGATGAAACAAGAGAAAAACTTCATCAAACTACAGAACGTATAAACACTGGGCACATTCCACTACTAAATGTACACCAACCTCTTCATGCCACTGCCCGAAAGATTGAGTAGATATGGTCTAATGTATATATTGTTCTGAAGGAAGGAATATACATAAAATGGCAATCTTTAAAGTTATGAGTGAATAGTTACATGGCAGTGGATGGTCTTCAGTAATGGCTCAAGTAAACATCACCACAGAATGCTGAGCTGATTTTCTGCAAAAAAGCTTCACAGGCATCAATAGCAGTGGGGTCACAAGGACACTGCAGCAGCACTGTACATCATACAGGTTTTTGCATACAATGCATGTCAATAAAGCATTTTTGATGATGAAGCTGTTCCATTTGATCAGTGATGAAAGTATAAAGAAACCTACCAATTTCAGTTTGTTTATTGGAATAAGACAATGAAGTTAGAGCTACTTTTCTTACAGTTTTTAAAGGCACAAAGTGAAGGTGAATTTCTATTTTATATGTAGATGCTTGAAAACATCATTCCATGAATCACTACTATCATTCAAGACGGGGAATACAAGTATGTATGTTGAAGCAGAACCAACTGTTGACCATATTGGTTCCACGTACTTTTGAAATCAGCATGTCTGAAAACCCAATATGCAAAGTTGCATGTGCCAGAAGTGAACATCTTTGCCCATTTTTGTACTATATCTATCCCATTACCTAGTTTTCCAGATCTTAATGCTTAACTGCCAGTTTCCAATTTATCTAAGAATATCACACAGGTACCTATTGTTCATCTCCCTCAGGCAACTTGCAGGCCAAGAGAAAATTTTCCTATTGAACCTATGTTGCAACTTTCTTCTTCTTGTGTTCAGGTTCAGTGTGTTCTGAAGAGATTAATACTCCCTGATTTATGAATAACTTTGTAAGAGTTACAAACTGTTAAACATATGGCAAAGAGGATCCAAGTTCCTTGGTAAGAGGTTTTTTGACAATTTTGTTGGATCATTGCCTGCTTCGGCAGTGCCACTAGTTTTTATGGGTATATTCTTCTTTGTTGGTCTCAACTCATCCTTTGTTTTATCCTTCTAGAATATGCTTCTCTTTGAATTAGGATAATCTTCAAATATTTATAAATGGTTCATGATGGGTTTGGGATTTCCTTACAGAACGTACTATGACACTTGGGTATTTGTGAAAGTGAAACAGTGGAATATAGGTTAAAGCAACAAAGAATTATAAAATTCTTTACTTTTTTACCATTTTGATGGGTCAATACCAAAGAACAACAAAAGATGTTAATGACTGAATGGAATCTCTCTTCTATTGATTATCAGTTATTTCATATTTTTTACCTTTTGGAAAAATACCTAATTGGATACTATTATCTATATAGCATAATTTAATAGGTGGACTTCTTAGTTTCCAGTTTTGTAATTTTTGTAAAAAAATAACAGCTGTGGTGTTTTCAACCATCATGTTGCTAGGGGCTTTGAGTCACCACATGAATATTTGTGGGATCTCTTACAAAGAATTATCAAGTATCTTTTTTGGGGAGGTGGGGAGAGAAGAGGTGAAGAATTTCTTCTAAAATTATGTTGGGAAAACTTAAATAGCTGTTCCATTTTTTTTTCTAACTTTGGTTCAGTTATTAAGTATTCTTTTCATATTTTCCTTTTACTTCTCAAGTATACTTTTGTCAGACTTTTTGATTTGGGGTCTTTGTGTGCTTGTACGAAAATCTATAAATCACAGTTAATATTCTAATAATAATTTTATGAGACAAACATCATCATTCCACAGGAAAAAGAAAGCAAAATGGAATTTCAGACACTGTAATTATATGTAGGTACTGGTGGTTTTATTCAAACCAAAGTATAGGTGGCAAGTAAGTCTTTTGTTTGGATAGGCTATTCTGTAATATGTCTGGGTTGCACAACTGGGAAGAATCAGTCCATGCTCCCAAGTGAATAAGTTCTTCTCAGTGACTCACATATACCCTCTTTTGATCCCTCTGTACCCCTCTCTCCACAAATACTGTATATAATATCTTTGAGTTTGTGAGAATAATGTCCCGAGAGGGACAATTTATTTGGGAAGGCAAAGATTCTATAAGCCTCTGATATGCACCACCCATGAACCAAAGTAAATTTAAAATTGGAATATTTCTATAGCTTTATTCAATAAAATAAATTAGGGATAGTATTAAGTGCCAGGTAAGCAATGTAGGCAGCCAGGTTTTATTTATATATGATTAAAAATTACTTCCCCAGTGGAAGAAACTATGTCAGAATAAGTGTACCCTAAAAAATACAGATTGCGAAGAAGTTTACCCAAAAATTTAAGTCAGTTTGTCAGGTAAGTCCAGCATTTAATTACAAGAAAGTTTTAAAACTGTTTTCATCTTTGGTGGCCAAGGAAGAATTTATATTTTCAATCGAATTTAATAACATAGTTTTGCCTTGGATCCTTTAAGTTTGTTTTGGAAACTATGAGAATGTAATGGTATAATACTAATCTGAATAATCTTGAAAACTTATTGATGAAACAAATGTAACTGAACTAAGACAATGACTAACTTAAGAGACAATAGAAATGTGAAATTTGGGTCAGTAAGAAGTAAAAGGTACTAACCTGATGCTAACACTGAAAAAATTAGCAAAATATTGAAGAATGGGCTTTAATGCAAAGATTAATTGAAACCAGTTTCTTTTAAACAGAAAGTCTGATAAGAAATTATCTTGTCTTTCTATCAATATGTTCTCTAAAACAGGATTTTTTCTAATTCTGGTGCTCATTGAAAATTAAGAGCATAGCAGATCATTGGTTTTTTAATCTATTTTCTCTGCCACTGCTACAGAGCCACATTATAAAGGAATATTTAACAAAAAAAGAAGTATATGTGAACAATTCACACACATACACTCACAGCTCTCTTTGCATCACAGCTGATAAGTGTCATACAATACAACAAATGCAACCAATACTAATAGATGTCAAGCTATTTATTACCTTACACTAGACCATACAAAGATGAAAATACGTAACAGTTATAAAGCACAAGGTATGACAGTCACGGTGGGGCTCTTCCGTGGCTGTCCAACACAAGCGCTTTTCACATCAATACATACAATTCTAGTAACAGCACAGTAGTCAAACAGGCTGAGTACTTACACTTAGATATATAGATTTGGCAACATTTCAGCTTGGCCACACAATTTTATTCACAATGGGTAGAACTAACTTCCAAGCTTATTTAAAGATAACAAGACACTAATGGATTGTTGCAACACTGCAGAAAAGATAAGCAAATGGGCTTTGTCACTGGAAGTTTGTAAAAAACATGAGATGTATCTGCCACTGTTAAAAATTGAAAAACAAAAATTTTAAGAACAAGTATATACTTGATTCTCATCATATGACAACTTCTGTTCATGCTAGCTGATAGTTATTTTGTACCTTGTATAAGCCAACACAGAATGTTAAGGCTGGTCAACACACTCGTTCTCCAAAGCACCACTTTCCTTTCTAAAAATATTTCCTTCTACAGACAAAAAGGTAATTACAGATTCACAAATCATTGTTTTTAGAATTTACATAGGTCAGATTAATAACCTCATAAAGTCTGATACTGTTGTCTGAAGAATCAGCACTACTTTATGGGAATCTATTAGCAATGCTAAAAAATTATATATTAAGGAAAGTATATTTAACAACTTAAGATTTTCTCTGAAAATAGCAATCTAAACAACTAACACACACTGAAGAAGCCTGACAGTTCACCTTTTGTTGACAACATCATTTTAAATGCATCTTAATTTTCCTGATGTATGATGTACTGCTATTTGAATTTTCCTTTTTTTCATGTAAGTTAAGAGCCTGGGCCACCACAAGTCAACACATTAAAATGCTGCTGAAATAATCACTTTCTTAACTTTCTCCTTAAAACTTGCTCAGAAACTTCCAGTGAAATCCTGCAGACTTGATCAACTGAATGTTAAACTACCACTGGATTCAATCTTCTGCACACCATTAGTCTCTGTGTAAAGTGTGCAACTGGTTATAATGTTACTACAATCAACCTAATCATAACAACAAAAGAAGTGACTACAACTACAGTTGGAATCACATGTAAGAAGATCATTATAGGGTAAACATTTATGAAAACTCTCAAATGTGATTATATTGGGGCATTTTGTAGCTATTGGACAGCAATAAGTTTCCAACAGTAACAAAAGTTTAATAGTTGTTTGCAATTACTCAAAGAAAACACCTTACACATGGCAGTGCCTGTTAGGCAAGGTTTGTGAAAACATTTAACTTAATGAAATAAACATGATATTTTTGTATTATTATACAGAACATTATATCTTTTGTTAACAATATCTGTTGTTAATTATTACAGACCAACTTCCTTCATTAAGTGCCAGGTAAGTTTGAGCTTTCAAACTGAAACAGAAAATAAGAAATTACTGCAAAAATGTAGCTGCTTAACAGCATATGAAATCGATCTCCTGTTCTACAACCCAAGCTCTTTAACGGAAAGTTTTCTTTTTATTGAACTGAAACATTTGGAAACTGATAGGTGAAGGTCCAACCAATAAGGATTAAGTTCCAATAAGAAAAAAACTGTACATTCTGTTTAGTTATGTCATTTATGGACATAATTATATTTTTCATTATAGCTATGCTGAAGAACAGGAGATCAAAAAAATATAAATCCTTATCAGAGTATTGTACAGGAACTCTTTTCTCTGAAAGGGTTGGCTTTTTGAGAGTGGAAGCCCACAAGCAGATAGTCATCATTTTCATGTTCTTGAATGTATTTCTGGAAAAACAAATAATATAAAAAAAAAAAATATTGAGTCCAAATGATCTATAAAATAATCTATAATTCATTACATAGTGCATTTCAAAGTTCAATAATATCTCCAATTATTTTATTCTATAGCCTAATTTGTGGAAAAACATAAACCATTTTACTGGTCAAATAGTCAGCTTTTCTCATTTTTTTTGCAAATACAATCTTTTTGGATTTGAAATAAATATTAGTCATAACTATGATTATCACATAGAAAGCATTCAAAAAAAGAAAAGTATAAATTAGAGAATTTTTTTCCATTCAGAATATTATTAAACAAAAGAAACTCAGTTATACAAAATACATTTGAAAAATACTGAAAAATAAAATTTCAATTACTACTCTATAAAAAGAAAAAAATTTCTTTTAAGATTAACACTCCATTAAACAAAAAAATGTCAAGAAATAATTTAGTTACTAGAATAAAAAAACATGGTTTAACCCACCATTACCTTCAAATCTTCAATGGCCACAGAAACATTCACTCTTCGAATGGAAGCTTCTCGGCGTAGCTGTTCTACAACCTTCCTCTGCTGTTGTAGTGTGGACATCTAAAATGATAAGAAAAATTTCCAAGGAAGTCAATGGTTTGTTTTTAACCTACTTTACAATAAAATACCATTTAACATCCTGTTATAAAATAAGGAATTATACAAACACTTAAGTAAAAAGCTGGATTTTAATTCTTCAAAAAATTAAAGTTAAATATTTCCATGCATTATGGTCATATCTCTAAAGTAGATAACACTGCTTTAGGGTCAAATACAACAGAAAATGAATGTGGTACCTCTATTAGAAATAAAAACTATCAGTATCATTAGCATAACTAATTAAGAAATTTATATTATTTTAGTTTCACATGGAAACTACATGAGATTTCAGTTGAACACACTCTCTTTATCATCAACATATATATATATACCTGGACAAGCCATAGTTAACTGAATCACCATCAGGTATATCCATTCATGTAAACTGCTATTTTGGCTAAATGCCTTCAGTCAGCATAATGAAGACCGTTAGCACATCTTAACAATTTTAACTGTGAAAGCATTCATTAAAGATATATTAAAACACACATCATTGCCAATACTTAGATGTGTTTACCACTAGCTATGAAGAAAGCGCATGCTTGTTAGAGGTATACATGCCAAAAATTAATACATTAGAGGCAGACAGATGCATCTCTAAGCACACAGATAAAATACCAAAGAAGGTAGAAGAAACACACCAGAAAGGTGTGCATCATATAAGATTTGCACACAAATACTGAGAAAGCCACATCTCTACATATGCAAGGCTGCATTTTATTACAACAGAAGCATTATTAAATAAGATGTAGTGGACTTTAGTTGACAGATTCATCCAGAGCACTGAGGTGAGCCAACTTCCTAGATTGCAGGCTACTCTCCAATCTTACCTGTTTATTGTTCATAATGGCTTCCTCCTGTAAGTTTAGCCACAAATTGGAGGAGGTTGACTACACACTAATGGCTGGAATAAAGAGAAACAAGTTAATAGGCCAGTGAAAAGTTTTATGAAGACCCAATCAAGCTCTCTTTGAGAACACCTTGCTACAAACTATTAATACCAGCAAATAAACTGTTATATACAACCAGCAAAGTAGGATGTGGAAGACATTTTATATTTCTAATTGCAGTACATTTACTCGTATCAATAACTTAGCAAAACCCTCTAATGTTACTGCTACAATGTTATATGTGTACTTATTATGATACACATCCAAGTTGCATTAATATATTCTTAGAAAAATATTGAAAATTGTTAGTTTCAGGTATGATCATCTTCGTATTCTTGCTGCATCTACCACAGATTCCATTCTAGTTCAACACACTACACAAATGAACAAATTATGAAATTTGGGTGAAAATAATTGATGCTAATATTTACTGAAAAACCTCATTTTTTTTCAGTTAAAGTACCAAGTTTTTATAAACATAACAAGGTTGTGTTATCTTTTATTTTGAAATCACATTTATGTAACTATAAACAATACATCACAGTAATGGCCTTTAATGTTGATAAATGTTAATAACATTTGAAAAACTAAAAATTGTCAAATTTATCATAATCCAAAGGATAAGTGAAAAAAAAAGGGGGGGGAGTGGATTTTTTTTTCTTTAATGTTATAACATGAAAATATTTTATAATCATGCAGGTATAATTGTTTACCAAACAGCTAAATAGCTTCTGACCAAAATAATGTGCACTTTATTACTCATATTATTAGTTATCTACATGATTTAAAGCTGTGGTGCACAAACTATGGTACATGCCCCCGAAAATTTGGCGGGGGAGGGGAGTTCAACTATAACTATAGGTGCATATAAGTTATATCAGAAAGTATGAATTTAAAAATAAAGACGTTTTTGAAATTGCAGAAAAAATATTACTATCATTATGGCAACAGCAATTAACATGGGAAAATGACAAGGTACAGTATATATGCAAATAGGTTAGAGTGGGGAGCTGTGTCAGTGTGTCAGCTGCAAAAGGAACAAGAAGAGGTTAATTCCACACTGAACAGTAAATAGAAAGAGGTTAATTGTGCATTTCACTCTCTTTCTTCTTATTTTTAAGCATGGAATTAACCTCTCATATATACAAATAATCTTGTATTTGAGCAGTTTTATACAAATGGTCAAGTCTCCTTACTTCGGGTCCAGGAAATCTGATACATTTCTTTCTGGGTAGTGGCTGTTAACTGTCCCAAAACACTGTACCTTACTGTTTAATGGCAATAATTTGAAATCTTTAAATTATAAAACAAGGTAGTTGCCTTTAAAACCACTAATTGCTTTGCCTTATTTTATGAGTGGAACAGAGTTGACAGGTGATGTTGATCAGTCATCCCTGAACATGTTTAATTAATATTTCATTCCCCCCATTTAACTACTTAAACCTCGATTATATTCATTTGTATACATATTTTTGCTGCTAGCTAAAGGAGAGATTTGATTAATTCAGCATAAAATAGCTGTTAACATATCACAAGTGCAATGTTTAAAAATTTTATTTTATTAGAAGCATTCAAAAATACAGGAAACAATAACCTTCTCTTAATAAAGGCACAGAGATGCTTTAAATACACTAAACAAGAAGCCCTAATTATCATATCAATGTTAACAAACCAATGATTTGGGAATGTAGCCCATAGTCATGGCTACATTCCATGCAAAAAGCAATGTGACTGTTGACTGGATGGCCAAGATATCGTGAGATTTTTTTTTTTACACATTTGGCTGCTTGTTAGCTTCAAGTTTTGGACATTAGTGTACATTTACTAGTTTGACAAAAACATGTGTAATTGAATGTTAGATATTAGCAAAAAACTATCTTGTGTTTCTTTAAGTGACAGGTCAGAAGTAAACAAACAATCATTAAATAATGGTGATAATGAAGAATAACAAACTGATAGCTCTTTAGTTGGCACAAGCATTTCCTTGGTTTTTGTCTCTACTACTACTGTTGGTTAAACTGAATACCAAACCAAAAACTAAAGTGCACAAGTACCAGGAGGATTATTTAAAATCTGGTTTCACTTACAGAATTGTTGATAATGAGGAACAACCAGTGTATTATCTATATGCAGGTCTTAGCTAATGATAGCATGAAGCCAAATAAACATGCAATAAATTTGGAAACTAAACACCCAGAGCATGTGGGTAAAACCATCGAGTTTGGTTTGATTTTAGTGCAACATTACTTGAGGGTTATCTGTGCTAGCTGTCTCTAATTTAGCAGTGATAGACTAGAGGGGAGACAGCTAGTCAACACCACCAATTGACAACTTTTGGGCTACGCTTTTACCAATCAAAAGTAGGATTGACCATCATCTTATAACACCCCAACAGCTGAAAGGACCAGCACATTAGGTGATTGGGAATTCGATCCCGCGACACTCAGAATGCAGGTCAAGCACCCTAACCACCAGGCTATGCTAGGTCTAGTTCTTCCCTGAACAAGTAAAACAACTGAAAGGGAAAGGTAGTTTTCTAGAAAAGCAGGTCACTGTTTCATCAAAAACCTTGAAAGCTTCCTTAGAAGCATCTTATTTGATGGGAAAAAGTACGAAGCCACACAATATAGGAGAGACATTACTTCTTCCTGCTGCCATAAAAACTTGAAAACATGTGAGATCACAGAGAGCAGTATGGTGAGGCTCTCAAATTTATCCCTTTATCACGTGACATTTCCACAAGGTATATAGATGTAATCTCTGCCGACGTATAAATGCAATTGATAACATGCACCAAGAACAGTCCAAACTTCAATATCCAACTTGATTAAACTATACATGTTGCAAATTTAACTAAGTTTCTGGTAGTTGTATGCTACTGTTATGAAGAGGAAGTGCATAAAGTTTTTGTTTTATCAAGCACTGGAAGGGGAAGCTATCTTCTCTCTTGTTGATATGATTTTCACCACAAACAACCTTTCTTGAATTAATTGTGTTGGGATAGCTGCATTTATGTAAAACAAGAAAGGATTCAGAGCTAATGTAAGTGCTCTTGCTCCAGGTGTAATATTTACATATTGCATTACACAAAGTGAAGCATTAACTTCAAAGAAATTGCAGCCTGGAGCAAACAAAGTGCTAAATAGCTTTAAAAACAACAAGCTATTTTCCATTCTTTGTGGAAAAATGTGATCCACGTATGACAGAGGTACACTGGTTGTCTTATGGGAAGGTACTCAGTTCCATTGTGCAAGCTAAGGAATCAACTTTGTTTTTTTTTGTTAGATTGCAACTCCACACTTGCAGTGCATTTTGTGGATAAAAATGGCTTCTAGTATTGTGCTACCAGGATGATATTTTAGATAAACTCATTGCCCTTAACTGGTCACTGCAAAATTGGAATAGCAATATTTTGTGGCTGAGTGACAAAATGTCTGCACTTCACAAAAAACTTGTGCTATGGAAAATCAGTTTGAGACTACAAACTGTAAAATGTTTCCTTGCCTCAGTGAATTCTTGTAAGAAAATGAGTTAAATCATAGTCTTATTTGTGAAGGTGTTTCTATTCTTCTTTAAACACTTAAGTGTCAATTTGCAGATAAATTCTGAGAATTAACAGGAAAACACAATTGGACCTAGAATAAATTTAATAAGAGCATAACTCCTCATCTGCCAATGACAGCTCAAGAAAAGCTCGTAGAATTATCCAGTTCTAAAACTTTCGGCAGAATTCAACTCAAAGACCCTTGAGAACTTCTGAATGCTTGCTTGTAAAGATTACTTTGACTTCTAAAGAAAAGCAAAGGGCATGCTTTTATCTTTCACATCAACATACTTTTGCAAGGCAGTGTTTTTCTGTTTTGCCAAAAATCAAAACAACACAGCAGCCTTGACTGCAGGTAGAGGGAATCTTGAAGTTGCTGTGTCAACATTTCAGCCAAGAATGGACCTCATCCCACACCAAGCCAATCCTTCACACTAAATTGGTGAGTAAACTTAAAACTGTTTGCTTCATGCTATGTACCTTTTTAAGATGTTTTATTTTATACAGGGTGTGAGGCACAACAAAATGCATGTTTAGAAATGGGTTCCATATCCATCAAGCCAATCCTTCACACTAAATTGGTGAGTAAACTTAAAACTGTTTGCTTCATGCTACGTACCTTTTTAAGATGTTTTATTTTATACAGGGTGTGAGGCACAACAAAATGCATGTTTAGAAATGGGTTCCATAAAAATAGTTTGTGCACCACTTTTTTAAGGAAAAGCACAAGACTGCAAACTTGCAAAATAATAACAACTGCTACCAATGTTAATAGCAAAATTTTTTATTTCAGTTATGAAAATGGCTTAGAATCATTGAATTTGTTTGTTTTGAATTTCATACAAAACTACTTGAGGACTATCCATGTTAACTATCCCTAATTTAGAAGTGAAAGATTAGAGGGAAGGCAACTAATCAACACGACACCATCCACCGCCAATTTTTGGGATTGACCATCACATTACAACACCCAACTGTTGAAATGGTAAGCAAGTTCTGTGATAGGATTCAAAATCATGACCCATAGAATGAGAGTTCAGCAGCCTAATCATCAGGACAGGCACACCTACCCTTTTCCATATATTTCATAAATATTGAAGCTAAAGTGATCTTAAAGTCAAGTATTAAAAGTATCTGGCTTTTTATTTAGTTATTAAAAAGCAAGACCAGTAAAGTGTAATGACAGAAGGTAAAAAGGAACAAGTATACAAATACCTTTATAAGTAAATTTACAAAAAATACACAAACTAACAGGGAAGACTAGATGTGTGGTTGAGCAATGAAAGCGTTTAACATAAACTGCTACTTTTGTGCAGCATTACTAGCATGTAATTATATTTTTCTGATAATTGTTCCATTTAATGTTTTTTTTAGACTTGTGGGCATTCTACTAGAAATAGTTTTTTTTTAATTAAATTTATAAATGTGGCTAAAATGTTACTGATATGGTGATTCTGATCTATTTAACTG